AAAAAAAAAAAAAAGAGAAAAAAGAGAAAAAGAAAGAGAAAAAGAAAGAAAAGAGAAAGAAAAAAGTAAAGGAAAAAAATTGTAAAGAATAACAGAAAGTAATTAATAAAGAAATGAAGAATTGAAGAGCGAGATATTTTTGTCATCATGTATGTAAGGAATGCCTGTCCTTTTAGAAGTCCAAATGTAATAAATACTGTGCTATGTTGTAAGGATGAAGTATACAAAGCACTACATATAACTGTTGATGTTCTATTACGTACGCTTTATAACACACCATCACTCAATGTAAATCTATTTACAGTTTTTGTGTGTGTGTGACAAATAGAGTGGTCATTAAAACCGTGAATTAGATATTAGACTAACACAGATCTTAATTCCATTGTTTTCTTTTGTGTCTATTTGACTATTACACGTTGACTAATAATTTTTAATTCACGGCCGGTTAAATGCCTTCACTCTACACAAGTATGAACAAATATAAAATACGATAATATATATTAATATCTGGTTAAATCAGTATCGGAAAATATCTACATGCTAAGAATATTTCTAATATTTACTTTTACTTGAAGGGTTTACTGCATAAGGCAATGAAAACTCAAATCCATGGCTTTTTTAACAGGCTTTCTCCCTCACATCTGAAGGAACTGCATTTCAACCGCACAGTTAAATGGATTCTTTGCAGTAGAGCTCAAATAGAAGGAAATAAGTTTCAATGGTTGGACAATTGTTCCTTAATATTGAATGGATTTTTTCCAAGCAAATTAAAATTATTTTAGAGATTGTAACTAGTGTATTTTTTTCTTCGGTTAACGTAGTATATTTGATAAGTTAAATAATAAATTAAGTTAATACAACTAGTTCATCTGTTTTTCTACAGCACCCCTGCCTTGATGATTTTAAACAGTCCATTAACATTGTTGGTTTTGATGGCTTGTCTGCAGGCAGAGATCACCTCAGCTTTGGGTTTACCGACTAGAATCAAATATAAAACACAAGTTAAAGGCCTGACAGCAAAAGATAGCTGACAGAAGCAGCCCGGCTATGGATAGCGTCAATGGTCAGTACATTAGTACGTACATGTAATATGTAGTCTGTAAAGTACTCTACTGGTCATAAAATGTAAAACGCATTGAGGCGATGTAAAATGTGCTATATAATAACTCTTCATTATAGACCTTATACCTCACGTTGCAAATGATTTCCCATTTCATACCAAGTGTAATTCCCTAGAACTTCATTTCTTTGTTTAACGGTTGCGCATGAGAAGTCACACGAATATGGGTACAACTCAAACAAAGAATCTTATTCTCAAGGAATGACACATGGTCTGAAATAGCGAAGCATTACGCCACAACAAACAATGTCTATTATTATAAGAGAAACCGCAGCGCAGAGTTAAATGTAATGATAAGAAGACCAGGACTTCGATATCATTGTTACCTCTAAGTCTTCCCGCCTTCTGTATGGCTTGATTGACAGTTTTCAAACAGGCCAGCAGTTCGGTATGATTGTTACATCTTATCTTGTAGCCGTTTATTAAATCTCTGTTTAAGTCGTACAATTCCATGTAGCCTTTACGCATGTTCTTCCTAAAAACATATTAATAGATCATTATTAACATCACTGTTATATCACCGGCACACCCATCATATACCATCACCATATTACCATCTCACCCACCACACCTAGAACCACCACCATTAACACCACCATCATATTACCATCACATACACCACACCTAGCACCACCATCATATACCACCACCACCATTAACACCACCACCATATTACCATCACACCAACCACACCTAGAACCACCATCATATACCACCACCACTAATACCACCACCACCACCACTAATACCACCACCATATTACTATCACACCCTTCACACCTACCATCACCATCATATACCACCACCACCATTAGCAACAGCACAATCACACTCACCATACACAACCAGTACAACTACCAACAACATAGTCACCCATCAACCAACTTTACAACTACCACCACTTCCATTAAAGCAGCATAACCAGGATTTTGGCTAGGAGGGTTCGAACCACCGATAGTAAACAATGTAGATTTGTGACGAGCTGACAACAAGAAAATACTGTGGAGTGGTAAAAGATTCTTCCAACTTCTTTGGCTGGTCACATGATGATCCAACTAATAATACGAATATTTACACAGGTGGATAAACACTTCAACAATATATGCTCGTATCAATGTGCGTCCTGATACTAAGGAGTTAGGGAGTTCGTAGTTGTCACTTAGGGGGTTCGATTGCGGTTTAAGGGGTGTGGAGCCCCATCCCCAGATCTACACCCTGTATTATCACTAAACACCATCATGTTTACTGTCGGCTACCATAAGTCTTATTCAGACCAACATTTCAACTATGAACATCATGAACGACATAATCACGCCCCTGATCATTTCCAATCACTCTACTGATCATTCGAATGTTTCATTCTAAGCAATTTAAAGTTTGACATACATATCAGCCATAAGCCTTGCATCCTCTGCTCGTACAACCAAACTACGAATAAGATTAGAGTGGTCCGCCATCTCAGCGGTTAGTTTCTGCCTCACGGAGTGTAACTCATCCACCTGTCATGGACAAACAACAGATTAAAATAACAAGCCGTGACTTTAGGTCTTTAGGTTACATCTAGTCAAGTGTATGTGAGTGGGAGGTAATGTATTCGAGTTATTGCCTGTAACTGCTGCTGCACAATAGGAAACGAGGTTGCCTTCGAATTACATTGCACCAAACACGTTAAAATCCCAATAGAGCAGTTTTCGTATGACTGTGATGCTTTCTAGAATTTTAATTGGCTGATTTTTTTTCCTCACGCAATGTGATTGATTTGAAAGTGCCGTGACCTTGGCGTGAACGTGTGCGAGCTGTGTTTATGCCGTGTTCTAGGTATTTGATTGGATGGAGAGTGAACTCTCGAGCAATGTGATTGGTCTGGCGTATCCCTTGCCGTGTCACATCCGTGTTCGTGAGCTTTTCACAGTCATACGAAAACTTCTCTACTCATCCCACAACAAACCCATTAAGAAATAAATCGTAAAGGGCAGAATTTGAGGGTGGCCGATGACAGGGTTTCTTTACGTCCTCAGTGGTTCTTTTAACGTCCATCTGATGTGGTTAGTGATGAAGTGTGGAGAGACGGGACAGCCATTTAAAGTGATCATCCGAGCCAAGTGAAAACCATTTGTAAATGTTATTACAAAGGCAGCACATGGTACCAACTGAACCAAACGGTAGCGGAACACACCCGCCCTTCAGCAGAAAAAAACGATGCTTTTTTATATTGTTTTCCGTTGTGTTGACGGAAAAAACTCAATTAGCCTCCCCTAAACTCAATTAGCCCCCCCCCCCCCATAAAATTTGGGCTGGTTCCGCCCTTGGGATTAGGGACCATGACGTTGATAAATCAGTCATGTTATGAACACAAACCTTGACAAGAACAGCTCTAAGTTCCTCCATGTGTGCGGGGAAGTCAGCAGTTGCATGCAGATCCTGTTGAGATAGAATGTTGATATGTAAGAACAAAATGTCAGATACACTTAATTAGTTAATATCCTAATCACCTGAGCCGGACTCACTGTTTTCAGAGTGTTTAATTGAACTTCAGTTGTTCATGAATAGAATGAGGCTGAAGGATCTGGACTTCAATTAATCCTCCCTCAGCCTCGAAGACATTTTAAAAATCACTTACTAATACCCCTCGGTGCCTTGCTATTACTTATAGGAATCAAAGGTCCTTAAAAGTTTGCAATTCCATAACATTACAATGAAAAAAAATTACACCTTTTTTATTCATTTTGTTATTCATTTAATTTGCAATGAAATGAGGGCCAGATGTTTGATACTGTGCTTTAGATGCAGATCTATTTGAATACTTGGAAAAAGTCACCCTCACAAAACATGAGCAAAACATTATTTGTTTAATTCTTTCAGCCAACCCGAGACCTTACAACAGAGACCCTACAACAGAGACCCTACAACAGAGACCCTACAACACAGACCCTACAACAGAGACCCTACAACA